TTATAAGGGATTACATCTTGAATCATTGCCTCACTTGATGCAGCTAATTCGGCTGTGACGGTCCCACCTGATGACGGAGACTTGTGTTGCCTCCGAAACGTCGTGATTTTTGTTTTATTTTATTTTCATTAATTTTGATGTTTTACCTACGTGACTTTACCGGAAAAAACCTAAGAATATCTCTGTAGCTGTTTAATTGCTGTAAATGGCGTTTGTAATGCGTACAAAATATTTATTTTGGCCTTGATTTGTAAGTTCGTGGATCACTGCATCAATTTGCACTCAGTGAAATGCGTTTTCATAGTCTACAAACGATTGGAATTAATCGTGAGACAGAAAGATGAACACGTGGATTGGAGAACATATGCAAGTTTGAGATGTCATATTGGCTGCCAAAGAAGGGTAAGTGTGCTTGGGTAGGATAACATCGCTTGAAAGGACGATGGTAGGTGCTCAAGGCTAATGCCGGTATGGCAGCCAAAGGAGAGAAGACACCCACGAAGTTTCGCGGTGGTGGAGTTGTGAAATTAGCTCAATTGCCGGTGATTAATTAATGGTTGTCATGGCAGGACCATGAAAGATTGTGACAGCTTGGAGAGGCCTTTATCTAACTGTGGATTGATCAAGGTTAATTTTGGTGATAGTCATAACCCTTGGGTTAGGTGAGCGATATTCTATTTCACTTTTTTTATCTCGTATTCAGACAACTGAATACTAGCAGCAGGATATATATATAGGCCTGTGACTCTACTACAGCCAATCAGAAATATGGGTTTGTATCTTTTTACTAAGGTTTCACATAAAAAAGCATTTCTCATGGCTTACTAATTTGAGTCCCGTCTAAATTACACGAAAACCCGTCTGAGGCTGCAATGACTACCTAAATTGAACTGTCGGGTGGGGGTAAAAGGGGCCAGGGGAAGTGGCATGGCTATCGAGTGTGCAGGCAGTGCAACTGCACCCCAATGATCAGACGGTGCATTTATTTCGTTGCTCCCAGGGCCTATGCCGACCACGCTACGCAAATGGACTGTACAGAGTATTTAGAGGCAGTGCAACGTATGTACCAGAAGGCTTGAGTAGGAAAAAAAAAGTTGTATCTCATGAAGGACATGCTGTGGTTGATGGGGCGTAACACTAGGCAGCCTGTCAGCATGGAAAGGCCATGGGTTTGAGCCCCTCGCCCCTGTTTCGGTTCTTTACTTGAACAGTTAAAAACGAATTTCACTTCCTCAATGTCCACCCAGCAGTATAAATGGCTATACATTACGTTTAGTTTAAATTTCGATTTAAAGCTTTCGTGACTGCAGGGAAATAATAAAATAATACAAATCCAACATCATTTTATTTTATAATGTTTTATTTTTATTATTTTATTATTTCCCTTCTACGTGACTTTACCGATAGAACCAAGAAGATACGTTAATATTCTTAGGTTTTTTTTCGGTTAAGTCACGTAAGTAAAACATCAAAATAAAAATAAAATAAAAATATAAATATATATATATTTTTTTGATGTTTTACTTACGTGACTTAACCGAAAAAAACCTAAGAATATGAATCTTTGCAGTCACGAAAACTTCAAATCTAGAAAGATACGTTTAGTTTGTTGGTGAGATGTGCGCGGTGGAGTAAAGTGGGGGGCACTCCCACCTCTACTCAGACATCTCTGGCCAGCGTGTAAGTGCAAGCCGGAAGAGTAAGCCGAAAACACCCTCTAGAGGGTCTCTGCAGAGGGGGGGGGGGTATTTAGAGCTCCCTTTAGTGGAGGCCCTTCCGCCAGCATCGGAGCGAGCAGGGAATTGCACAGCTGCACCTTTGCCTCTTCACCTTCATTTTTAAATCCTTTATATTAAGTTCGCTTGCTTGCTTGCGTGCTTGCGTGCTTGCTTGCTTGCTTACGACCGTGCAAATCTTTCGGTCGTTTTTTAACCCACTTCCCGTGATCCAATCGAGCTGACATTTTGCACACATACTCGTTGTGCGAGACAATTAATGTTCGTGAAAAAAAATTTCCAAAATGTTACACTGTTTAGGGAAAACAAATTAAATATTTAATTACCAATTGCTTAATGCTGGCAGACAATCATCTAACCCATAGGTGGCAGCCATCTCAAGCCAGAGGACGAGAGGACTCTAGCCGCCACGCATATAAAGGATTTATAGTGAAAAACTTTGTTTTTACGGATTATACTTATTGTCCACCATCATCACCAGAAATACATGTATGTATTGTGGGAGGGAGGTGGAGATCTGAGTTCCATTGTACGTCCCCTCCCGACCTGTGAAATGGGTGGTTGCGTGAGAGCCCCCCCCCCCTCCCCTCGAGTGCTGCCTATGGTTGTGAGCTTGCTGCCCACAATGCTGCCCCCCCCCCATCGATTAGTAGCTTTCACAGCCCCCCTAGGCTACTTGTCATGGGGGCCCCCTAGGCTATTCTAGATTTGAAGCTTTCGTGACTGCAATGATTCGTATTTTTAGGTTTTTTCGGTAAAGTCACGTAGGTAAAAACATTAAAAAGTAAAATAAAACTACACTTATTTGCCAATCTTATTTGACAGACAACCATTACTGTTTTACCATGTTTAGTGGTGGTCTTCTTGTTACAGGTTGAGTCACAAACCGCACCTCAGCCTTTGTTATGCAGTCTATTCTTAGTCTCAAGCCTCACCTTACCATATTAATAATAAGTATGCGGCCCTTGCCCCACCACCTTCTCCAACCATTATATAAACGCAGTGGTAACTCCTGCAATCTCTCATTTACTTGATACAGCTTTCGTGGCTGTGACGGTACCACCTGAAGACGGAAGCTTGTGTTGCCTCCGAAACGTCGTGATTTTTATTTTTATTTTATTTTACTTTTTAATGTTTTTACCTACGTGCCCCTAGGCTACTTTTCATCGGGCTCTATGACTACTTGTTCTGCCAACTTCAAAATTATTCCCATGCACCTGCTGTGAGTGCACTACAGATGCCGCAAATTATTTTTAAGCAGCATGACAAGCGAGACGTGATTAATTCCCAGGACATTATGCAGCCTCTCGGTTACAGTGAAAAATGTAGCCTTGCTTTCTAATAAGAGGCACTGTGGATTCCTCAATTGTGGGCTCTACAGGTCTGCACCTTAATGGTCATTATTGCATTATATGTATCAATACCATACCATTTGCAGCATATGTATACTGCACGGCTACTTTTCTCCTTCTGCATTTTGCACTTAATATGAAATAAATGTTCGTCTGTCACATCATCAACTATGATCAATCCACTGCTGGATAAACGCCTCCCGACGCTGTCACCTTCATTTGCAAATAGCATCACGTGAAATGTTTTACCTTCTGTAAAAGTAAGGAATCAGTGTTATAACTGTGTTTAGTTAATGTTGCATACACGTCAATTATGCGGTGAATATGTTCAGTTAAACGATACTGCTTGTCGAAATTGCCTATGTAATGCGATGCAAAATAGGTTACTGCTTCAACCAGTGGTCTCTCTTCGAAGGCAAGTGAGTTGGGAGAAAGCGTGTGCTTTGAGTAACTGCACAACAGAAGATAGAAACTCCAAGAAATTGGATGGAATAATAAAATTGAGAAATACACAATAAGGGTCATTCAGGTTACGGTTCACTTCACTAATCAACTGCTTGTAACTTCCACTTCCATGCACACACTCCTTGTTTTTTATATCAAAAGTACCCATTCGAAAAGAATTCAGAATTGTGGGTCAGGTAGGGCGAATTTTGTCTCAGGACAAGGAGTTTATTGACCTTGAGTGTGATCTTATCGAGCCAATGGCATAACCACACCTGCTGTTTATCAAGGAATGCTGCGATTGTTAATATCCAAATTGTAGGTATCTACTTCATGCTTCATTCACGAGATAGCAGATCCCTGAGAATAGCCCAACTACTGAGAATATTACGATTAAAATATAACCTAGTATAAACACGAGGTGTTACTGACCTCAGGATTTATATTCAATATATATTTCTAATTCAATGATAATGGGTTATTTTGTCATAATAATTCATGAGAAAGTTTTTTTTTGTTAGATCGTGTCAATGTAAATGATTCGTTAACCCACCACCACCCGACACAGCCAATTAGTAAGTTTGGTCACGTGCACAAAACCTGCTAATTCGCTATTAATTCAGCACATCGGTGTGGTAGCAAGTAAACCCACAATATTTACAGCTGAATATGACGTTTCGCTGGTGAATACAACACTCTTTTGTATAACATAACCTATAAAAACATGTATATAGCACATTGTTCAAAATGTCCTTGCAAATGAAAGAAGATTCAAGCATCATTGATATACAGACTGGCAGATATGCTGTTAATATATAGCTTTTAAGTGTTCTTCAGATATTCAAAGGCAAGGACAATTATGATTTATTTGTGTACTTCTGCCTGTGTCCATAAATATCTATCCATATGTCTACTCGTTAGTCTCCTTACCCTCCCTGTCTTACATTTGCTTAATTGTCTACAATGTGTTGGTTGGTTTGTGTCCGTCTGCCTTTGCTTGCCTTGCCTGTCAGTTTGATTGCCAGAATCTACAATAGCTCCCCGCATTGAGCAACATTTCTTGAAATGGTGCAAGATCATAATATTTCCTGAGATTGGTTTTCAGGGTAAAAAATAAATCACAGGGCAAGGTCACTGTTTTCCCAAGTCTGTTCATCCTATCCAGTCATTTGCAGCCAACGCAGCACTTGTTCCATTTCAACATTTTTTACAAAGTAATGATTGATGGCTCGTGGCCAATAACTAGCATGCGATTTCAATAAGCTTAAAATGTTAAAGTTAAGTCCCGGACATTGTTGCCACATACATTCTCATGGCATGCAGCATGTGCAGCGTTTTAAAGTGCACATGTGTCATATATTTAAATAAGCAATCAAGACACGTACAGATTTTTTTTGTAATACTTTTTATTAAGTCTTTCAAAAGAAAGAAGAAAATGACCAAAGTGGACATTACTAAGATCCAGGATTGTATATGACAATTTTTTAAATATATATTTCTAGCATACAGGAAGTGTAAAAGTAGAGCCCAGTAGCGCCAACGATGTTGTACTGTATACCGAACCGCTACTCAGGTTGTGTTAATTACGACAAAATAACTGACAGATATTAATTGTTTCACGTCGTTATTCCTTTCCTTTTTTAAAACATTGCATGTTTTTTGGTACTTTGGTATAGCACTGAAAGGCTATTTTTGCAAAATATAATCCAAAACCATCACAAAAAACATTGTGACTATTTGCACCATTTGTGCTGCATTCCACATACTATTGGTGTCAGCTGCTCCGCGGGCTTCGCTCAATCCACAGCGTTATATTATTAAAGCACATCACGTGGAAAGTATAATTTGTTGAATTGATAACTGTAAAAAAATCGGATATTTTGTTCCACGAGTATAATTGTGTTAAGTATGCTAAGCTATCGATCAGCTTTTAGATTTTCAGTTTGATCTGTACAGCTCGGCCAGCTGAACAAGTGCCAAAATCATATCCATATTTTATTGGCATACTTGTGGCTTCTGCGAATATTGTAGGGAATAATAATTTAGAAATTCTATTTTTGGCACTAGAACTAATTCAACTGAGGTTCAGAGTAGTCAGAGACTTAGTTGCAATTGTCAAAACAATTCAATCGTTGGAACTGGCATATCTAGCCATGGCTAAGTTAATTATGTGATTGCTACAATTATTATGATGAAAAAAAATAAGCAAAAGCTTATATTTAAAATATGTTATTTCATTGCGATAAGCAGCTGATAAAAGACCCTGCTATATATGTAAAAGTGCCCAAGAGAAAAACTAAGGTTTATGTATTTTGTTAAGTGACATTTCCACATTAATGGTAAAATGCATATGTGATATTGATAAAGGGCATCAAAATGGACATTCTTGCAGTTTGATGCAGTATTTTGCTGATGTCATCATTGCATATGCAATTTGTTTAATCCTTCCAATAAGTTAGATTAAATTTCATCGCAATCTTTTCTTCGGAAAGAGATGTGGAAGCCAAACTGGGTGAGAGACGCAGGGCATAGGTTTTGAACAGCTGAATACATGTCTGCATCCTGTCCTTCCATGCGTTGGTATACGTAAGTTTCAAGGTCCTAATAAAAAAAATAGTAATAGGATGTGGCTGAGTAGCCAGTTAATTGAGCTAGTGTTTCTGAGATGTTGGGTTCAAGTCCTGAGTGACAAATAAATAAATGAATTGGCACTGCACCTTGAGGGTTCAATTATGTCATGCAATCCAGTTCAGACCCCTCACCTACAATGCCTGCTCAGAAACGCCGTTCCAAATCGTCATGTGTACAGGATTGGGCTGTAGCCACCACCGAAGCCACGAAAACTGACAAAAGAGAGAAACACTTTCTTCTGTAGTCTGGGAGCACCTGGTATTGGGTCGACAAAAACATCAACTGGCAGTCATTTGGAGTAGTCTAACAGTGCTTCTTGGGCAAAGTGTTCCTAGCACTGTGAATTCATTGTTGTTATATAAAGAAGGAAAAGACCACCGACTAGCAGCAAAATGGCAAATATGAAATTATATATATAAAAGACATTTTACAATTGATCACTTTCAAACATTCCCAGGAGGCCTACAAACCTTCAAGTTGGCTAAAGTGTGCAAAAAGAAACGTGTTTGTTAGGTTTGGAATCAATGTTCCAAGTGAGTACAGAAGCCCAAACTTTAGTTATGGCACTGACAACATTCTGCACAAGTGCAGGGCCTTTTATCCTGGCTTCATACTGCCACAGTATTCACCTTTTAAAAAATAAAAATCAATTGGATTTTTTCCCATAAAACCCTTTCAAATGTTCACTCACCAACTTGTCCTCTTGAAACCAATCAGTACCAAAAACGCATGCATACGCCGTGCCACGCAGTGACGCCACCGAGTAACAACTCTGCAAAGCACCAATGGGAATATCCACGAGCAGTGGTTACCCCTGTTGGTTCTTTGCAAGAATCACCGGGGAACGTTAAACCTATTTACAGTTTGTAAAATAAATAATGAACTTTACATTTGTATTTAATAATCGACTTTTTTTTGCAATACACAATTAATCAATTATGTACACTCCTATATACAGTCGTATACACAGCATCGTAATCAATTACAGATGAATATTCACAATGCAAAGTCACTTTGTAGCACGCACACACGAACAACTGCAAACGTCTAGTTTTTTTAAAGATTTCTTTTTTATGCAAGAACATGGGTCACAGTAACTCCAGACTATAAAATTATTGAAGCTTAAATGTACAAATGTAGGTATTCGTTTGTGTGTGTTACCAATGTGATAGGCATGGCTTGTCGTGCGTGAATTGGCAACAAAGCCAATTGCTATTAACAACCTGGACCCCATTTTCCACAGCACAGACTGGAAATACTCGTGTGTCAGTTTCCTTACTGCATTGCGGTGCTCTGTATATCCTGAAAACTGTTACATATAAACAAAACGTTGCCACTATGTTTTTCTGCTGTCAGTAAATAGAGCATTTTTTACATGTGGACACAAACCAGTGTCGAGCATCCTGTGGTATGAACTATAGAATGCAATGATCATTTTCCACAACAGCTAAAAGACGAAACTCAGTTGCAATAGAAATGAAATACATTTCAGCAACAGAGAATACTAATTTTATTTGGCCACTATGCAGTTGCGATGCATGATGACCAGACAGTGGACACAAATATGTATTATTATAATTGTATAGATATAAAACATTTTAAACATTTCAAAAATTCTGTAGGTAGCCACTTTAAAGCACGGTCAGTGTGCAGGTATTACCAGCTTTCATTAAGCAGCAATTAGCATTAGGTGCTCTGTTGGTCAGGCATGAGTAGAATAACAATTTGATGCGTAATTGGAATAGACATCTCCATTACTTCGGGACCTCATTCTCGTTACTGTCCCCATCAAAAGAGAATAATCTAAGCCATGCTTGATTTCGTACGTATTTGTGTCAAAGCAAACAAAACACATTTGCATCGGCTACGGACATAAGCACTTTCAAAGTTCTAACAATCACAATCATTTCAACTTGTAACGTGCAGCACCATGACCCTGTTTGTTCAGATGTATGCCACCTTATTACAACAATGTGGAAAATTGTGTAGTTAAATAAACCACAACAGTTTCTAGGTAAAGTTTTTTTAGCATACAGGTTAAAAACCACGACTGATTTTTTTGTCCAATGTTCCACTAAAAGTAACGATAGAGGTCAAATACATTTTGCACGATATAAAGAATGTAAATTAATGCAAGGATGACTGGTTAAACTGGAAATAGTGTCCTTTTATCACAAGTCATTGAATTTTGCAACATAATTACTCCTGCCAAGTTGTAGGGATTTCTTTTGTAATGAGTGACTTAAAATACTGTCAACGCATGATTTGCGGGTGACTTTTACCGCTGTGAGATTGGTTTGCAACTTTTAGCAACCTTGACATTGACTGCAACATCTACTTCTTGCATCTATTGAAAACCTTTCATCTAAATTTTCTAGTTTTTATGAATAAAATGTCCGTAATTAATTGGCCAGGTTGCTATTTTGGTGTAATGTACATTTCACATCGTATGCTTACTCAATAATGTAAAACAGATGCAAAGTTACATTTTAAGGTCAATATTTTCTTGGAAATACATTCGTATGATATATTTTAAGGAATATAAATTGCTGTGAAAGGTCAAACTTTTTCTGCTCACCCTTGAGTATTATTTTTTGCTAGTTGAAGGAGTTAAATTTTGCCACAGTATGAAAATGTTGACCAATACATTAGAAAAACACATGATTGATTCAAGGTACTATATCTGAATGTAGAATTGTGTCAAGGCAGCTTGACCTGGGAATTTCTATGTCAACAACAACCTCACAAGCATATGCACTTCCTCAATTTGAAACGTAGAATGTGTTAGTATGCCATAATATTCTTAATACAGTGGCTGAATTTTTTTTTGTAAAAGATCAATGAACACTGATACAAAGGCAAAGGTCCACCGTGTAGCCTTTGACAGACTGTTAGGGAAGTGCTGTTTGCTAGCATCTATGTATGCCAGCATGTGAGCGGGTGGTTGGTCAGCACGACGCCTGGCCACCTTTGTCTCCCCAATGCTGATGTTCAAACAATGCACCAGGTCCTCATTTGAGGCTAAGTTGACCTAGGTGAGACCCAGAACCGGTTCAGATATTCGCCATTGTTATTGGTCGTGAGCAGGAATTGAACCCAGATCACTGGATTTATAGCACAGCACACTGACCACTGCACTGCCATTCACTTTAACATTCCCTAGGTCACATACAGGACAGAGATAACACTACTGTGTCTAGTTATCAAAATAAATGTATGTACTTTATTCATGGAACATATTAAAAGCTGAAATAAACGTGAGTTATTTTTTAAAATTATGCAACTGAAATAATCTAGAAATGAAATACCTAAAGTCATTGCTTTAATATGTAATTTGAAGGTAACGTATGAATCACAATTAATTACAGTGTAACAGATAGTTTTTGTTTCTGGGTAGTGTTATTTCCTAATTGCTTAGGCCTCAAAAGTACAGAAAATAGCTATTATTCCCCACAAACTTTGCTTTTGTGACCAGAACAGTGATATTTTGAAATTTACCTTTTTTCCAGAACATTCCAGATAGATTCAGTGCTGAGTAAACTTGGAGTAACTTCTGGAACATTCTAGAACTTTCCAGTAATATAAATAGTAGTATAAATAAGTCCACCAGTTCAGTTTAGTTCCAGCTGCCTAACTGGATACATTTTTCTGAGATGGCATTGAGAGGCTGCATGCATCCGGCGGACGCATTTTACTATGTCTGCGGCCAATTTATCAAGACAAAAAGCGAAAAAGTACTCTGTGGAAGCATCTGCGAAGATGTGTGAGGCCAACAAGGCATATTACAGCATGCCTGTCGTGGATCGAGACAAACCCTGGGCACCTCATTTCACCTGCGAGCACTGCAAAAATACTCTGGAAGATAAGATGTACAATTGTTGCACGGAAATTTACGTTATAAAATTTGTTAAAATGTTAAATTTTTTTGTTTTTTTTTCATTTTAAACTGTTTTACAATTTTCAATGTTATTGAAAACATATATATATGAATGAAAAATGTTGTGAAAATCTCTTACACATTAGTCATGGGTGAAATAAATATATTTTTGTAGGATGGTACAGAGGGGAAAAGAGAGCCATGAAGTTCACTATCCTAAGAATTTGGCGGGAACCCACTGACCACTCAAGCAACTGCTAATTCTGCATGGTGGACCCTTCCAAACGTCGGACTGGCAAGAATACACCTGCTATCACGTATCCGGACCTTCCTTCATCCCAGTGCTACACTGCCATGAGCTCCCCGTACCCACTCCTCCGGAGAGAGAGTAGCTGTCTTTAGAAGAGAGCAGCAAGTCAGAGAGCAAGGAAGACGTTGTAGATCCAGATGACAATTTAAGAGGTGGAGCTGAGTAGAGAACCCCATTCTACCCCAACCAAAAAGACCTCAACGATTTGATCAGAGATCTTGGTTTTACCAAGTCCAATGCCAAGCTTTTGTCGTCTAGGCTTAAGCAGTGGAACTTGTTGGATGAAAGTGTGCAAGTCGCAGATCAGAGGAAGCGTCACCAACCTTTTTGCAGCTTCTTCACCCGTCAAGATGGGCTCTGCTTCTTCCACAATGTGACCAAGTCTGTTCAAGGCAATCGGAATCGCCTGTAACCAGAATGAGTGGCGCCTCTTCATTGACAGCTCATTCAGGAGCCTCAAAGCCGTTCTGCTCCATAATGGTAACAAGTAACCGTCTGTTCCCCTCAAAGAGGATTACAACAGCATCAAGACCTTGCTGGATGCCTTGAAGTATGATGAGTATGGCTGGGAAGTCATCGGGGACTTCAAAATGGTGGCATTCCTGATGGGTCTCCAAGGCGATTTTACTAAGTTTCTCTGCTATCTATGCCTTTGGGATAGCAGGGACACCAAGGCAAACTAGTCCAGGTGGGACTGGCCACAGCGGACCGAGTTCTCTGTGGGGAGGAACAACATCAAGTGGGAGCCACTGGTGGACCACCGGAAGGTGCCGACGCCACCACTGCACATTCAATTGGGCCTTATGAAACAATTTGTCAGAGCTGTAGATAAGGAGTCGGTAGCCTTCAAGTACCTTCAAGACTTCTTCCCTAAGCTGTTGGAGGCAAAGGTCAAAGCCAGTGTCTTCGTCGGACCACAGATAAAGAAGATCCTGGAGTGCAATTAATTCCTCAAGAAGCTAACTAGGAAGGAGAAAGCGGCTTGGAACAGCTTTGTCGCAGTGGTTTGTGGCTTCCTGGGCAATCACAAGGTCGAAAACTACGTGGAGCTGGTTGAGACTGGTGAAGAACTACGGCACAATGGGCTGTAGGATGTCCCTCAAAGTCCATATCCTTGATGCTCATCTTGATAAATTCAAGGAGAACATGGGAGCGTATTCAGAGGAGCAAGGCGAGTGCTTCCACCAGGATATACTGGACTTTGAACGCCACTACCAAGGACAGTATAACGAGAACATGATGGGAGACTACATTTGGGGGCTGATTCGTGAAAGTGATTTACAGTATAATCGTAAATCTCGAAAAACTACTCAATTCTAAATCTTTTGTAGTAATTTTTGTATTACTTAAGTATAAATAAACGTAAATTTTTATTCATATGTTGTTTTTTCTTACTTTATGTGAACGAAAGATATAAATTCGCCAGTTTTCTCATTGAAAATAAGTACATTTCAAAATATCACTGTCCTGGTCACAAAAGCAAAGTTTGTGGGGAATAATAGCCATTTTCTATACTTTTTATGCATAAGCAATTACGAAATAACTTACTATCCAGGAACAAAAATTGTGTTACACAGTGTTATTTTTCACTTAGTCATTGTAGACGATGGCAACAGGGCTGGCTCTGCCATTGGATATTGATAAGATTACATTGATTACATACACCTTGTGACATGATATAATATGATCAAAAGTGCCCATGAATGGCTCTAATATTATTACTTTTTTGATCGATGCTCATGATTGGATACAGGACACCTTGCCGAGTAGCATTCTTCTGCTGCAAATGTTCTGACATGTTAAATTATACAGCACTCGTGTGACCCGTGGATGAAGGCCCAAATGTATGACTGCAAGCCTTCAAAGTTGAAAAGCCAAGAATCTAACATATTTACATTAATTTATATAATCTACTTTTAGCATTAAAACTAAAGGTATTAATTATACCACTGGATCTTTTGAATATACATAACAGATTTTTTTTTAAATAAATAACCAGTCAATAATTTCGTGTTAATTGGTTTGTGTATGTGCAATATGGTTTTTACCTTGACCAGTGAGGCTTGCGGAAAATACATCCTATATATATTTATTTTCTAGAGGATCAACATTATTTATTAACAATTATATCACACGCATATGGTGGAATATTACTCTGTGAAGAAGGAGGTTCTGGGGATAAGCCCACTCCCTGATGATAGGACATTTATCAATCGCAGGTACATTATGTAAAACATTTTTTATTAAACCTTTCACTTTCTATTTTGTTCGAATAACTGACACAAGTTTAATGTGATAATTTTCCTCTGTGTTTAAAAAAAAAGAAAACCAAATACACAACAATCTTAATTATGAACTGCAACTAGATGTGACCACAAACACATCCACTCAGTGTTTATGTACGTACGCACACTCAATCACATTTTAACATGCATCCCTTCAAGCTATAGCTGACTATCTTAACAAGGTTCCCTGTAAGTGTTTGACACCTCTGTACATGAAGCCTAAATTAGATATTTTATTTTGATCTCATTTTTATTTCATGTTTTTTTTTTTTATAATGTCTTGTAATGTTCAGAAAGCAACACTGGCAAAAAAAGAATTGCTTTTGCTGTTCTATAAATTGTTATTGACTCGGTTACATATTTCAGAGCAACTTACATGGCTAAACCACGTTGAATAAGTGCTATAATGTATTTTGAAACAAAAAAATTATACATGTTTTCCCATGTTGCTTTATACCTCAGACATGCTTGCATCACATGAACTACTTGCAAGGTTAACAAATCCATGCCTAGGACAATTCACAATGTCGATAATTGCAATGCTCATGTAACACTAACTTGTAAATTTCTCCTCTGTATTTTAACGTGAGACTTGGCAGGGACACAAGGTTACACATGTAATGTTAGCTGCTACAAAACACCTCACTCCGTGCTTGTCCAAGCCTTGCATTTTGCCTTGTCGAGGTAAAATTAATTATCACACATTTTTAAAGCTGCTATGAAAATTAATGTACACTTGTAAACGTGCCTCTGTTAAAATAAAGGCAATTAATAAAACATAGTAATTACAATGCTCATTTGCATATTTCCTTCCATGCACAAAATAACAACACAACATACATACTTGTTAAAGTGTTTATTTTACCGACTATTTATGCTTTCATTTCTATTTTTTTTATTATGTAGCATGCACTTTTTTCACAGTAAACATGCTGTAACCATTTAAATAAAGGGTGTTTTAGAGTTAAAATTAAATGTCAGCAAATGGTTCTGGCCTGGAAAAGTAATGATCCATTATTGCCTAGGGCTGAATGAACACGTCCCGTTTTGTGCTGAATGCTCATTACCGGTAATAAGTGTCAGCAGATTAGAATTGGCAGCCTTCTCACTGCACTCAGATTGCAGTCTTTGGCACTTATCCACTTTCTTTGATTCTGTGGATATCAGTGTGTGGTTCTTCAGAGTCCCTTAAGCCTGGGTCAAGGCACAGCCATTCAATGTCTTGTTCCTTCCCTACAGGGATTGTCTGGCTTATTTCGGCCATTTTGTCCGGACTGTGCACAGTGGTGAAGGCCGAAAACGTCACCCTCTTTTTCTGCAGTGAGAGGGGATGAACAGAGGAGTCACTCGCTTTGGACTTGGGGCTCCCTTCTCGGATGGCGTCATCGATCCCCTGCAGCGTGATCACCAGCTCGTTCTTCGGATGGCTTCGGCTGATGTGATTGCACGCCATCTTCCTGTCGGCAGCTGCTTCACCCGATTGCTTTGATGTGGAAGCAAAGCCCCCCTGGCTCCCGCGCTCGTCGCCGACGTTCCGCAACTGGATCCAGTCGTGTGAGTGCGTGCCGATCTCGTCCTGTGCCTGCGGCACGAGCTGCTTCCGCTTGTAGCGAATGACGAACGCCGTGCAATTGATGAGGAAAACGAGGATAGCCAGGCAGAAGACGCTGAGCAACGTGTACATCCCGATTTGTAGGTCGCTCAAGCCGGAAGGTCTCTGGGCTTGGTCGCCAGCACTTCTGACACCGGTGCCCTTCTGCGGAAATTTGGGGTCCACGGGCGGGCTGTCGGAGCTTCCCCGCTTCTGAAGGACCTCTTGCAGAGACTCACCTTGGTCGCCCACGCCATGATTCCGCCACTCGCCTGGCTGGGGCCCAGACGTTGTGCCGCCCCGCTTGACGCCCACTTCCTCTCGCTCCGTGTAGATGTGGCCCCGGAGCGAGCCATTGTGCAGGTGTCTCTGATCCCACTGAACATTGGGAGTTGTGCCCATGAAGGCATTTCCAAAGCTGACGCTCACGTTGACGTTAACCGTCGCCAGCGAGCCCCTGCGCTTAGACTTCTGGCAGCCATTGCAGACGAGCAGCTCCACCTTGAGAAGGCCCCCCGGCTCGTTGCCCTCGCCCTCGGCCAGGATGGAGGGCCATCCGTCCGCCGAGGAGAAGCGCACGGATAGTGCGCTCTCGTCCAGAGAGCTCACGGAGAGGACGTAGTCCCGAGGGTTGTAGGCGTCCATCGGTGTCACCGTGCCATCGCTAAACTGCAGCCAGAGGACAAGCGTGGCCTCCTGTGAAATCAGAAGAAAGTATAATTTTTCAAAAGCTTTACACCATTTTTCAATTTAATGCAGCTGAAACGCGGTGAGAAGGAATAAATTGTGTTTTCTTGTCGCACATTGTCATTATCACAAGCAAATTTGTGTGAGCATATTATTTTGGCGAATTTTTTTAATTTTTTTTTAACATTTGTATCGCCTCTGAAATACATTTTGTAGGAATGTAAAAAAAAAGTTTAACAAATACTTTGTAGAATATGCGTGTTTTATGAAACAAGTGTTTGAATTTCAATAATACATCCATCTCAATCAAAAAACGATTTACATATGTGACAAACACAAAAGCATAACATTTTAGTAATACCCTTGTTTTTTTATATACCGTATGTTGTTGTCAATAAAATTCCCACTGCTACCCAAATGAAATATATTGACCAAAAAATGTAATCAAAACAGTTGAACCAATTTACCACAAGTGCAATCCCTTTACTACCAGAGCTTTATAATTTGCTGTTGTTTACATAAGACCGATTTAATCAGCACAGAGTTACAATATAAGTGCACAAGTCTTCATCGACACATAATTAAACTAACTTAACAGATATTTCAGAGTTAATGATGTTTAACGAGGTTGACTTACACTGTTGGATTTTGGATATTTTGCCTTCCAAATTTGTCACAAACCTCACGTATCTATTTTTTAACTTGCACATGTATTTTGAATAGAAATAAAGCACTTAAAGATTGTTCCATTTATTACACTGGTCTACATCCAAAATGGTTCCGAAATAAATGTAGTCCAACTTTACCAATTCTGGGTGACTGAGAATGAAAATGATGCTTAAAGTTGTTGATTGGCTCTAGTTTTCAAGATATGCTACTGGGTCAGGATATACGAGCCTTGAATTGGGAATGGCGGAGGATAAGGGCGTTTTAAGGGAAGGGATCTAAATTAAACCAGAAATATTCTTAGGTTTTTTCGGTAAAGTCACGTAGGTAAAACATCAAAATTAATAAAAATAAATAAAATAAAACAAAAATCACGACGTTTTATTTTATTTATATTTATTTTGATGTTTTACCTACGTGACTTTACCGAAAAAACCTAAGAATATGAATCCTTGCAGTCACGAAAGCTTCAAATCTAGAATTAAACCGGAAATGACTAAAATACATCTTTGACTGGATCTATGAATACATCTATGATTGGGTTTCGACAGTACTTGCTTTTTGAGCAAAACAATGAATGATGATGCAATCTGAACCTGGTATTGCATCATACATTATATGAATTGCATCATGTTATTCCTAGAAGTCATGGATGATGCAATCATAACTAGGCTTACATCCCTTTGCTGAACAAATTGTCTCATATCAGCTCTAGAAATCATACAGTGTCGTGCTTTCTTATTTGTTAGTTTTGATTTTGCAAAGGGACACATTTCTGTTCAGCCAAAGTGAGCAGGGATACCTCGTACTTGTGTGAACATAGCAGCTAACTTCTGCTATGTTTGTGGTGAAGTGACTTTTGCATCACAAAAGCGCAGTATAACCACTATGATTTAGAAAGCCTTTATTGGCAGCATTAGTAGTGAATGATATCTAGTATCTGAACCGAAACTGGACTTTCTTCTCTCCACCAAAATGCACTCGCCAGTGGTGAAGTATGGTAAAAAATAAACCCCAATATCTGACACGTCGTGACGAGGCCTTTATTGAGTGGGTTAACAATGGGCTGTACATTTTATGTTTAACTTGCTGATTGCACAAAAACACGATACATTTCTACAAACGATATAAATGTTTTGTGATACGTAAGTATGCATTTGACATAGCAGTGTTTTTTTCACATGCCTTCCCAATTTTTTTAATGTAATTTTTTATTCTCCCCTGGAGCAGAAAGGCCGAAAGGTGAAAGGGTTGATGACCACATTGAAGAATTGCTTCCAAAAACCCTTCTTTTGATATATGGAGTTTTGAGAATGGAAGAGTTATAGGTTTCCACATGTTATTTTCAACAGGATACACTGTCATACTTTGGTACTTAGCAACTGAGAGCGAGAACAACGGCGCGACAGGTGCAACGTGTATGAGAATCACTGACACCCCCGTGGAATTACTTTGGATTGTAAAGCCACCAAATATACATGCACTATAAAGAAAGTTGTTTTCTCTCTGTGTGACTTGATATGAACTATAAAAGGTAACGGTGCAGCCCCGCATTTACTTGCTCATGCCAATGCCCTTGTCGAGGAAATGTAGCTGAACTTTCAAACGCTAACCACACACTTCGGAAGAGGTCGGAGTACCCACCACAACTCAATCCCATCACACACGACCTTGCCGAGTAGACAGGCGGCAGGGAGAAACACCGTTGTTTCAACTTCCGCATAGTATATAGTTAAACAATAAGACAGCCCTTTCAACCCACTGGTGGATGAAGGCCTCCATACTCCATACCAAAGCCGTGTGGTTTTTTGTTACCAAACTTTATTACGCTGGCACATGCAGGTCGGTAAAGGGCAGGTGGGGGGGGGGGGCAAGAGGGGGGGGCAGGCAATGCGGAGGACGGGGGGGGCAGGGGGGTGGGATCTAATAAGTAGATCTTGGGATAAATGTATGGTAATTATAGCTCCGTGGGAAATACTAAGCTGTAAAGTATATGTTCATAACTCAATTCCATAATTTGTGAGATTATAGCATTCGTTGCTGGTATCCGAGCCTGGATGCTGCCTTTTAAATTGCAATTAAAGATTGTTCCTTTGTAATTAACAATCATCAACTTTATTACAAAGGATGTCAATGCATTATTCTCACATGTATAAATATAGAATATTAATATAGATTTGAAGCTTTCGTGACTGCAGGAATCCATACTCTTTGGTTCTTTCGGTAAAGTCACATATGTATAAAATAAAATAAATCACAACGTTTCGATGCAACACAAGCAATCATCAGGTGGGAAAACCAGAGCAATAAAAAAAGTTTTTTTGCTGAAGTGGGAGAGAGATGCCGTGGTAAGAAGTTATATAGGTAATAAAGGGGGGAGAGAATATTAACTCGGTTTATTTTATGTAAACATTTTGCTATTGTAAATAACACCCATTTCAAACCTCGTAGTCATTTTGGTGCAAACATAATCAAATTGTCTTAGGCACCTTTTCTGTATAACAGCTGCCAGACTTATTACCTGGCCAGTTTCCAATTTTATTTTCGGCAGACATGGAAAACCATTGCCAAAACCCCTCAACATGTCTTCTAACAGGCTTTGTGTAAGGTAGAGAATGGTCTGTACAGTTGTGAGTAGGCCAGTCTATTTTTTGAAGGTCTGTCAAGTTATCAGAATGAATGTTTGATTGCTCAATATTTAACCTAATTTTCCCTTTCTGTAGCTGTAGCACATTACACAAATAATTATTTTTGGAGGTAAATGATAATTGTCCAGGATTTCATTTACAAATCCTTGTTGTAACATTGCCAAGCGATAGCATGTTTGGCGTATGTTGTTAGTACAGCACAACGGTGTTTGCTCTCCAACACCCTGGTGTGTTGTACTAGTGTAATGACAACTCTTGAGATGGCACTTCATTGAAGACACGTTCACTTGACATCAGGCAGAGATCCCACTGCAACAGCCCTGAGTCTCTCGTGCATCCCCCCTTCTCGATCATTCTCGCTGACTCTGGACGCTCCCTCTACCAGCACACTCTACCTTCCTCTTCCATCACCTGATCAACGCTCCCTTCTCGAACATTCTTGTAGCCACCAGTCCCTTCACACTCACAACTGATACCCCTGTCATTACCTCCCGTGGCCACTAGTGCATTCGTACTGGAAGCTGACCTCCCTGTCATTACCTCCCGTGGCCACTAGTCCCCTCACACTGCATGTAGGCTCTATTGTCATTACACTAGTAACGAATTGGCATGTTCTGTTTACGTGACAAACCTTACTAATTGGCTGTGTCGGGTGGTGGCAGGTTTAATGACACATTTATATGTACGCGATCTAACCAAATAAAACCTATATTATAGTAAAATATGTGTCGTCTGCTTCACAGTGGATGCCAAAGATGGTTATTTGCAAGGGTAGGTCATTGCATGCCACTGCCATGGTCCAAATTATAAATATGACCTGCAAATTACTCAATTTGGGATTATACATAGCATGTAGCAATGATCACCACCGGCCGCATGAGAAAAAAACTTCACAGATCCCTCTTAAAAAAATTAATGAAGGCTCAATGTCATAATATTAATATATCAGTGTCCTTTTTCTACAGAGAGAATATTAAACAATATGGGCTATTATGTGTCCATATTTGTCTTTTGTGTATCCAGGTAAATACATTTCTTATTAGGAAGTCTGTCTTTAATTTGACAAAATAACAAAAAGGGAACATTTTCTCTAAAATGGCAATATTGCCAGAGTAAAATTACGCATTAGACAAATGAACAATCATCAGAAGTTAAATGGGGAAAAAGATGTGTTCCGCATGTAGTAATAATACTAATATATATAAAAAATTCCCATACATGTGTAGTGACTCTCGGACAACTTGAACTGAAGACATATATATTTATTTATTATTTAGGGGGCTTTATGCAGATAACTTGGTCAGGGATGGCACGCAAGTAGCGATGACGTGAAGACAACAACGGTAGCAATGACACAAAGACAACGACGGCCCGAAGACAGCTACGGTGTGAAGATAGCGATGGCGTGAAGATAGTCGACCCCGATCCCACGGCAGCTCAGAATCTTTGCCTCTCACCTCCTTTTATTCCCGGTGTGGCCCTCAATCTGCCCCCCGCCATGCCCCCTTTCTCGAACTCTCTAGCCCGTTCCCAAACTTCACAGATGGTTCCCCTTCCGTAATTACCCCTCGTGACCACTGGGCCACATACTGTTCCTGCACCCGCACTGTCTCCACCCAAGCACTGTCTCTACACCCGCACTATCTCGACATCACCCCCCACACCTTCTAAAAAAACAATCAGCCGTCTCGGCTC